AAAAATTTGAAAAAGAAAGAACAGAGATCTTATAGACATTTTAACTTGAATTAAGTTTTAAAAAGTGCTAATTTAAAAATCAAATCGACGCGTGTAGATAAACAAAGATTTTATACAATTAGAAAGACTGGTAATTTTAAATTTTAACAAGCAGTGTAACAGCTACGTGAGTGATACACACCTGATGATGGCCATTTAGGGCCGAAACATGTAGTGTGGAGGAGGAAAAGAAGTAAAAACTACAATAAAATTTGTTGCACTTAAGACGGTATTTATCCATATATATTATTTTAGGCTATTTTTTTGTTCAATATAAAATGTTTCTTGAAAAATGGGGTTGAATGTCATGAAATTAAGAGTGTTAAGCAATATTCTCTGTAATCGTGTTAGAAGCAGTAGTTTTGGTGTAGCATGAGTATAAGCTCATGCTGAGTTGGCATTGTCATCATTTGTGTTCAGTCAGAAATCAGAGGCACGTAACATACAGCATCCTGTGCTTAGTTAAACATTATGAGATAAGACATACACGTATGAGGGAGTAGAGGATAGCTCCACTGTTCTTGACCTCAGTACTAGATGGCCCAGCCACTTTATCACCCAGAATCTGTCGTTAAATGAATTCTCGCAGAATTGACGGATATTAGAAGTTTCTAACAAACTCTTGCTTAATTTGAACATGTCTGAACTAATACTAATTTTACGTCTGGTATCAAACTGACAGCAGTGAAGAAACTTTTTTAATTTTGCTGTTTATGTTACAGGGTGCATATGTAAGTTAGCCACTGACATTTAGGTACTGTATAAATAATAGAAAGCAAGATGGCTTATACGGCAACGCTTTTGATTTGTGATGGGTTCAAATCTCGATCAGGTAGTGGATAATTCTTACTGAGGCCAGTGTAATTTTTTCAGTCCTTCCAGCAAATGGTAGTATAGCACCTTAGATGAAGTCACATCTGCTTCCTTCCACATCCTTTTCAATTAATAATTTACTGTCATTCGCTCTTTTGACGCTATACACTCGAGTTATTGAGAGCGTCCCTAAATTACAAATAAATATAATACGTAAATTATCATCATTATGAAGTGACAGGAGGTTGGGGAAAACTGCATGAGGAGCTTCATAACGTGTACTCTTCTACAAGTATAATGATCAAGTCAAGGAGTATGAGGTGGGCAGGGCATGTAGCACGAATGGGGTAGAAGAGGAATGCATATACGATATTGGTGCGAAAGCCAGAAGGAAAGAGACCACTAAGAAGACCATGGCATAGGCGGGTGGACAATATTAAAATGGACCTTAGAGAGATAGGATGGGATTGTATTGATTGTATTGATCTGGCCCAGGACAGGGTCCCACGAAGGGCTTTTGTGAACATGGTACTGAACCTTTGGGTTCCATTAAATGCTGGGAAAATCTTAAGTAGCTGCAGAATTGGCGGCTCCTCAAGAAGTGCTGGGCTTCAAGAGTAAGTAAGTGAGTAAATGGTCATTAACTTCTTAACTAATACAACAGATTCAACCTTCAAAAGCTGTGATTTTCTTCCCAATTAAAGTTCCATTTATAGCATTCACACAATCTGAAGCAGCTATTTCGAGCGCTGAGCCCTTGAGAATGTGAAAAGTAAAAATTTGGGAAGGGCAGTAAAAATTATATTCACTTCAGAATATATTGTCTTTACATCTAGTACTTAGAAACATAAAGACTTAAACACACCTGACACTTGTTCTGTCGTATTAAAGGAAGAGATGAGGGTGTGATTTCCTGTGAAGAGGTGTGCCGTGGAGAATATTTCGATCTAAGAGGAAGGACGCAACAAGATGTGGGAGAATACTGCACAGTGAAGAGCTCAGTTGGGCATGTTAGAAAGAGCTAGTCTCAATCACTGGAGGTCCAGTAGGTCTATTCTTCCCTACCCACCTGAAGACGGAGACAGATCCAGTCTCTGAAACGTCGTGGCCTTTTGTCTTTCACATACCAGACGATGGATGAAGTCCAAAACAAGCCAAAAGAAGTATGGATTAATGTTGCTCACATAATCGGTTACAGACTGTTCTGAACATGGTAATGGATATTCGGGTCCATAAAAGGCAGGGAATTTTTGGACCAGCTGAGCGACTATTCACTTCTCAAAAAGTCTGTGCTTAATTGAGTTATTATAGTCCTAGACATTCTTGACGATGCCTGAATTAAACTCCCCTCGAAAACACAAGTAATGACAAATTATTCCGCGTGATTAAGGCTGCTGTCATCTCGGACACTGTGTGACATAGTTCAAGTTTAAGGACGTTTTGCAGAAACATACTACTGCCATATTAAGGGTCGAAGAGTAAGCTGCATGCTGCGCTAGCTCCTTGGACCTGGAGATGGCAGTGGTGTATTCCTCCGAAACGCTGACACACGTTTCCCAGTATATAACGTGTCACATCCAAGGACATAGTAAGTAAACTTCGTAGTGGTCTCCATGATATAATGAAGTTGCACATGTTTTATGTAATGATTTATGATTTTATTTTTTCATTGTTAACGAAAACCGTTAGTATTTTTAGACGTCAGTGTTTTCGGAGAATGTTCCAAACAATCACACTTATGGAAGAAGTACCAAAATTGTTTTGAGCTCACATTCAATTTGGAAGAAAGTCAGAAGTCATATACAAGTTCCAGTTCCTCTATCGTATGCCGCCTACTTCACTGTCATTGAAGCAGCACTTGCCGGGAAGCAACATTCTGTCCACGCAGCGTGAAGTACATGTTCCCCATGTACTTAGAACAAGTGTTTGAAAGTATCACGCCGTGACTGTACCTGTTCCCCCAGTGAACTGAATGGCCAACTGATCCACACACAGGCCACTGCACTGCACTGTGACCCAATTAACACACAATTCAACTAACTCCCCGGCCTACAAAAGTAATCCCTTTTTCCTCATGTTAAGTGGAACATAGCAGAATCCGTACAGGGCACAGCCCATCGGTAAGATAATTTATATTTGTAGTATATTTATCGACTTTATTTATTTATTTTTTCGAGGATAATGAATTGGAAGTGACGTGGAAGGAATCAGTAATTTTAAGACACTGTCACGGAATTCGCCTGGAGGGACACTAGTAACTTCACTCAGGACAGGCGGAGTCACGAATGAGATTCTAATCGCGTATGAGTTAGGAGCTTTACCGTTTGGGTCGACTTATTAAAGAGGAAAATTCTTAAGGAGCTCGTAAACATACTGTGTGCATTCCTCAAGGTACGTTTTTCTGTACAAAGCACGTACATGTATATCAGTGAAAACTCAGTGTACTTCTAAACAGATTCGCCCTCTCTTCATATTTACTATTATCTGCAACCAATTTGCCCAGTTTCTGAAAAAAAAATCATTCTCTTTAATGCTTTCAACGCAGTTTGTTCTAATTAATATGTAGGCCGCGCCATAGCTCAAGCGGTTAGTCGCTGGCTTCCCACCGCGGCGGCCCGGGTTCGATCCCGGGTCTGGTCAAGTGGGATTTGTGGTGTAAAAAGTGGAGCTGGGCTGGGTTTTCTCCGAGTACTTCGTTTTCCCCTACCAATCTTCATTCCACCAAATTCTCCATCATCATAATCACCCGGAGCAGGCTACAATAGGCGAATCAGTGGCCGCTGTGCCTAGAGGACCCAGTTGGACTACACTCCCCCCCTACCCCATAAGCGAATTAAAAGAAATAATTAATATGTAAAAATTCAATGCGTAGCTCTCCTTAAACACAGCTCCCGGTACAGGGATCAGAGGGTTCATAATATTATACTTCAGCATCCTGTTGCATTAATATCTCACTCACTCATTTACGTCTATAAAAACAAACATAAATTTTTATTTTAAATGTCATTTATAATTATATTTAAAATTAATAAAATGTCATTAAAATGTCAGTCGTTGCTACACTTTTCAGTATCACGAGGCTATCATCATGCAGCTACAGTATTAACCGAAGGAAATCACCGCGATGCACGGGCTCACAAGTCAACATAGTAACATGCTGTTGTTGCATGTCGTCGTATTCGAGAATGTACGTTCGTAGTCTTCTCAAGCTACTTCTATGTACGGCATTCACGTTGTGTTATTTGTGCGTGGTTTTCTTAGGTCAGGCGTGTGTCTAGGTGGAAAAATCGCTGTTTATTACGAGAAACATAATAAACATATAAATGCACTAGTTGCAGAGAATACAGGGTTTTGGTATGTTAAAGAACGAATACATAGAAACACTGGGCTTTAAGGGGTTCACGGCAAGATTATTTCGTTTTTAAATTTCTGTCGTTGCAGTGCTCGGCATGGATGTTTGGTATGTGTGTGTGTTATCCTCTATTTAGGTAGAGGCCTTGAGACGAGCTGATCTCTCGTCCAAGGAGTCCTACCGTCTGCAAAATAATCAAAATGAAAAAACCTCCACACCGTAAGGTATAAAAGAAACGGATTAAGTAAGTAAGTTGTTTTCCTTCTAGCTCTTGTAACTAACTTCTCAAATAATGAATGTTTTTTAGACATTTCGTAAGACTTGGATTGGGGGATCGGCCTCCCAAGGCCTCTACTTACATAGAGCAACATGTACCCAGGAAAAATGTGGACATATATATGCCCTGAGCTGGAATAGAACCGAGTCCCA